AGGGATGAAATATGACGAATACCAAGAGGAGAGAGGAACCTTCACTGTGCTTGATAATTTTTTTCGGCGGTCTTGGTCCCTCTCTTTCTTTGTCAAGAAAGGATAGTGAAGCTTTCTCTCTTGATCGTCTTATTTCTTTCTTTCTCCTTGTCTTTTCTTCCCTCGCTGTCGTTTTTCCTCTCTCTCTACGAACAGTCATTGAAAGGGAGAAAGGAGACGGCGGGGGAGAAGGAGGCAGAGTCGGAAGCAGGGCAGAACTTCGAAAGAGAATAAGACCTGCATGGATAAGTGAGCAAGAGAGGGGAAGTCAGAATGAGTGATAGGTCTTATGATCAAGAATAGACGGCACTTGTTGAGGTGAATACTTGATAAGCTCTGAAAGCAGAGACGGCGAGGGGAGGGGAGAGGAGAGGAGACACAGCATGATTGATATCGGACGCAGACAGCCTTGTCAAGATGTCAAATGTATCTCCATGGTGATTTTGACAGTGGTGAGAATTTCCCTTCCCTCCCTTTTCCCTTCCTCAAAAACTTCTCGCGTCTTCCCTCGTCCTCTTCCTCTCCATCCTCCTCTTCGTCACCGCCGCCATCGCTACCTCTTCTCTCGCATCTCCAAGCTCTCCACAAACATCACCAATTATTTTGATAGGTTCTCGCAATCCTCGGAAATCTGTTCCAGCTCTTCCTCAAGAAGCGAAAGGTTCCTTTCCTTTGCCCCTTCCCTTTTTCTCCTTCCCCCTGCCCTGCCAAACCCCATCCTTGCCCCCCCCCTCGCTCCTCCACGGCCCACAATGAAATGATTTCTACAGGAGAGGAGAGAAAATGGGGACGAAGTCACTGACATCCTGGATGAAGCACTCTCGACACAACAAGACTTGAAGTCAAGTAAGTTTTGAGTTTTCTTCACCTCCGTTCCTTCTCTTGACTTACTTCTCTTTCCCTCCGTCCCTCCGTCCCTCCGTCCCCTTCTCTCCCTCCTCCCCCCCCCTCTTCGTCCTATCGCAAACTCACCTCCTGTATCTCTACAGCCCTGCAGTCCATCGAGAGACGGTAACTTGTCCTTGCTCCCCCTCTCCTCTCCTCTCCTCTCCTCTCCTCACCACCGCGCACTGCCTCCAGGCAGGAGATCGCGAACGAGATCCATCGCTTCGACTGGCGTGCTCCTCCCGTCAACCCTGAAGCTCTCCCTGGCCCATGGGAGGACAGAAATCGCCCCAGGAGGAGCATAGATATGTGCTAGTGAATTTCCACTGCTGCTCCTGCTTCTGTTTCCTTCAAGTGGATCCGCGGAGCCCGCAGAAGCAAGGCAAAAAGCACGTCTTCCACAAGGACCGAGGCTTCTGAGGAGAGGGAACGAGTCAGAGGGAGGAAGGAGCAGAGGAAGAGGAGAACCGCGGGGGTGCGAGACTGGATACTGGGAGGAGGAACAGGGACTCTGCACGAGAACAGGTCACTTGCTGTGTGAGTGTAGCGGAGGCCGGAACCTGAAGACGACGACGTTGCTGTTGTTGTCCCCCAGGGCGACATCGTCTTCCTTTTGACAGGGGCTGACTTCGGTGGTGTTCCTAGGGAACTCGTCAGGCACTTTCAGGGAGGGAGGGGAGGGAGGGGAGGGAGGGAGGGGAGGACGGAGGAGGAGTTGAGACCTTAAGCTGTGAATGAACTTGTACGGTCGTTCATACTTGATTACAGCATAGAGACCGACTGCTGCTGTCGTTGCAAGGCCTGCAGGTCCCTGAGCCACTTTCCTGGAATTGTTTCTCCTCCCCCCGTTCATCCCCTTCTCACATTCCTTGCCCGTTCCCTCCTCCTCCTCCCTGCCTGTCCTGCTCGACCTCTCCTGCTTTCTCGTTCTCCTTCCTACTCCACTTCTCCCTCCTCTCCCTCCTCAGTCTGTACCAAGTGGAGTGATCACGACACCGAGTCCGAACGTGAAGAACCCTGAAGTCACCAGTCACGCTCCTCACTCTCGAGCCTCCGCGCGTCCATACCGATGGGAATGGCAGCGATTGACGCAAACCTCTCCACAAAGTTTCTCCTCTGACACCTCGTCAACTTCACTCTTCTCCTCATACACACTCACGATCTGCCCGACTTTGAGTGAGTCACGCCAAGAGATCTCCGCATGCTCCTGCAGTCCATCAGCGGAAACATGGGCTATCCCACTGCATCTTCAGTTCTACCTCGACACTCTCGGCCTCCCTGCCGTCTTGCGTTGGACTCTTCTCGCTCGAGTAAGACAGCAGCTCCCTCCTGCATCCATCGGATCACCGACGACTTCGCGCCTTAGTCTCTCAACCTCCCAGGCGCACGCCACGTGTTGTTTGCTGTCAGGACGACATCCCAGCTGTTGCTCCGATGCTGTCTTGCAGCTCAACTTCTGGTGCATCAAGTCAAACTCATCCGCACCTCGACGCTGCGAGTTTGAAGGCAGTCTAGAGCCATCCATCAGCATACAAGGGAAGAGCCGTAAGATCAACTTACCCGCTCCAGGAAAACACAGGAGGAAAGCGAGAAACAGCTGAAAATTGCCGCTCATTGCGGCAAAGCAACACCTGTTCGATAGAATGCAACCATCAAGAAAGCACAAATGAAGAAACCATGTATCTCTTCTGGTTATTTCCCTTCATAACGTGTCTCATCCTCCTTCCCGCAGAAGCATCTCCCTACCATTTCTCACTTCCTGTCTGCCTAATCCTGACCCATTCCTTGCTTTACAACCTCCTGTAGTGGAAGCGTTGCTCCTCCACATCAACTTTTGCAACCCACATTCCAATTTTCCCCTCCTTCTCCATCACTTGCCTTTATCCATATCTTCTCTTCCCCGTTTTCCCTTCCCTTGTCCCGCTCTTCTCGCTCGTCTCCCTCTCCCTCCTCTGCCCTCCTCTCCAACCTCTCCTCTCCCTCTCCCCCCCTCCTCCTCTCTCTGCTCTCCCTTCTCTCCCCTCCCCTCCTCCCCCCCTCTCTCCTCTCCTCCTCCTCCTCTCCTCCCGGCCTTGTCACTCAACCAGCATGATCCGAAATTTCAAAGAGCGTGTAGAGCCCTTCTCATCATCCCCCTCATTCTCACTTCATCATCCCCCTCATACTCAATTCAATCTCTCCGTGACCGCAGCCGTGACCGTTGACTACTAGAAAAACCAAGTCCGCCTCAGTATGATACTATGGATGGTAAAAAGACAGCAACATAAATTAGTAGAAAGTCCCCCGACATCGAGGGCTTCGATCGACACCCATGGCAGCGCTGTTGTTGGTGCTCCTGATGGCAGCGTCAGAGGTCGGCGGCTTCATGCATGCAGGAGGAGGATGGAAACTTCCTAGAATCAGTGCTAGATCCTCCTCCTGTTCACCCCAGGGACATTCAGCTCATTTTGGTGATGCGGTAGCTTCTTTGCGCCAGGCGCGCAGCAGGAGGGTGAAGGGGGTTGTGTGGAGCTGTGCCACATCGGCAGCAGAAGTGTCGTCCATGAAGGTCTCAGAGATCAAGGACGAGCTCTTCAGGAGAGGAATCTCGTTCCAAGGGCTGTTCGAGAAAGAAGAGCTAGTCAGAGCTCTGGTCAAGGCACGAGCCGAACAAACCTCGGACCTGGACTCCTTGGACGTGCTCAAGGACCTCGGGGGCACCGTTGTGCCCATGAAGAGGACAAGGGCGAGAGAGAACAGCCTTGGGTCGGAGGTTCGGGTGGATGAGAAGGACTACTTCTCTATCGCTGTGTCACTTCCTGAACTCAAAGTCAGCAGAGCCGAGTTTGTCATCGACACCGCGTCCACCCTCTCCATCGTCGTCCCGAGTTTCGCGAGGACGACGCAGGCGCAGGCCACAGGGAGGACAGCCTCTGTCAACGCAGCAACGGCAGGAGGGCAGCAGCTCAGCCAGGTCAGCCTGGGAAGGACTGAGATCAACGTCGGAGGGAGCAGAGTTGAATGTGGGAGGTTGGAACCGATCGTGATGGATCTTCCTGTGAAGGACGGGGTGGCAGGACTGCTGGGGGTCGACTTCCTGCTCAGGTTCGACGCCCTCTTCGATCTCAAGGAAGAGCGAGTCGCGCTCGCCCGGCCCAACACGATCGTGTCGGGCGCCTTGGGGCAGCAAGGCGCGCTCAGGGCGATGGAGCGGGCAGGGCTGGTAGAGGTTCCCATGTTCTTCCTGCCTCCTCCTGCAGGCTTCTATGTCGTCAAGGTGAAAATTGAGGTGGAAGGAAGAAGCTCTCCCGTCATGTCAGCGGTGGTCGACATGGGGTCGACCTTCACAGTCATCAACACACCAGCAGCGCGATCGGTCGGGGTGGACGAGGGAAGCCCGGTGAGTCGGCAAGAACCTGCGAACCCCCAGCGGCTGCAAGAGCCGTCTGAAGTTCTGTATGCTCATGTGCTCGCACGTTGGGCAGTGACTATGTTGAGGATGTACCAGCTCCCCTCGTCCCTTGCCTCTTGTGATTATGTCGCTCTTCCATTCTCCTGACGGGGCTCTTTACAGCTCCTACGAGACACGAACTCAGTGCTGTCAGGAGCAACTTTGCCGGGGCAGACTTTCTCTACCATCAGGTTCCAAGAGGTCTGTACCTCTGCCTCCTCCCACGCTCTCTCTGCCTCTGCTCCTCTTCCGCCGCCCCCTCTCGCTCTACCCTCGCTGCCATCTCTTCCATCGCCTCCCTTCCCTTCCCTCCCTCCCTCCCTCCCTCCCTCCCTCCCTCCCTCCCTCCCTCCCTCCCTCCCTCCCTCCCTCCCTCCCTCCCTCCCTCCCTCCCTCCCTCCCTCCCTCCCTCCCTGCGGCTGCTCATCTCTCATGGTTCAGCTTCAACATTCGCAACGTTCAGCGAGCGCTTGAGTACGCCTTCTTCTCCCTCGCCCGATGGTCCAGAGGTCATGCGAGGGCG